GACATGCTTATTGCATCGAAGAACAAGGTGGAGATAGATAAGCTGAAATCTCAACTCAGCAAAGAGTTCGAGATGAAGGATATGGGTGCTGCAAAGAAAATACTGGGTATGGAGATTAGAAGAGAGCGGGTGAATCAGCGATTGTTCTTGAGTCAGAAGGGCTACATAGAGCGGGTGATCGCGAGGTTCGGGATGCAAAGTGCAAAGTCGGTAGTGACTCCATTGGCTCCACACTTCAGGCTTTCAGGTAAACAACCTCCCACTACAGCGGAAGATAAGGCACACATGGAGCGTGTTCCTTATGCTAGTGCAGTTGGCAGTTTGATGTACGCCATGGTGTGTACACGCCCTGATATTTCACAAGCGGTTAGTGTGGTCAGCAGATTCATGGCGAATCCGGGAAAGACGCATTGGGAAGCAGTGAAATGGGTCCTGAGGTACTTGAAAGGTACCGCGGATACGGATCTGTGTTTTGGTGGAGATACATGTCAGGTCGACGGGTATGTGGACTCAGATTATGCGGGCGATCTAGATAGACGACGATCTACTACTGGTTATGTATTCAGGATACATGGAGCTCCAGTTAGTTGGCGATTAATGTTGCAGGCTACAGTGGCACTTTCTACAACAGAGGCCGAGTACATGGCTATGGCGGAGGGAGTGAAGGAAGCATTGTGGCTGTGGGGTCTTCTAGACGATTTGGGGATCGAGCAGGAAAGCGTGAACTTGTGGTGCGATAGTCAAAGTGCGATTCACTTGGCGAAAAATCAAGTTCACCATGCTCGTACCAAGCATATCGACGTCAGGTATCATTTTGTGCGGGATGTCATAGAGGAAGGCGATATTTCTCTCATGAAGGTGCATACAAATGAGAATCCCGCGGACATGTTAACCAAGGTGGTCACAGGTAGCAAGTTTCAACATTGCTTGGACTTGCTTTATATCAGCCCGTGTTGATTTACCCAAGAAGGCATGACCCTTCGGGGCGGTGATGGAGGTGTGGTGGAGACTATGTTAGAGAACAGTAGCAGAACTACGATTAGCTTGATCCCGGTGGAGGGTACGTAGGTAGCCGCGGTATAGTGGCACAGCTGGTTTAGCCTGGTTTGGCCTGAATATCTCTCTGGTGGAGTTCGTGGGATTCTTCTGGTGTTTCGTTCAAAATTTAAGGTTTATCAAATGATGAACGAGGTGGAGAATTGTGAACGCGGGGGGCCCACGTGGGCAGCTGCCCACGAGGCTGCTTTCGTGCCCGCACACGAAAGCACAGGCGCCTGCTTTCGTGCGCGCGCGCACAAAAGCGGCCACACCGCACGTCGAGCCCCGCGCTCGATTTCGAGCTCCCGCGCGCGCCCTTTTCTCCCGCTTACTTCTTCTCCCGGCTGATTTTTTTTCGGTTCAGCCCTCCTTCCTCGCCTATAAATAGAGAGGTGAGGTGTAGAGGAAATGGTGTGGGGAAAATTGTGGGAAAAATCTCAAGTGAAGTTTTTTGAGAGAAAAGAAAGAAAGAAAGAGAGAACTTGTATAAGTTTGGTATTTTTCTCCATAGTGAAACCCCCTCCCGTGGACGTAGGCTAGTTTGCCGAACCACGTAAAAATCCCGTGTTTGTATTTGTCTTATCTGTGAGTTGCCATAGCTTGTAGGTTCCCTCGATATTTCAGTCCTTGAACTGATGAGAGGAAGAGTGTATATTTCACTTTGATGAAATATATCACTTTTGATTCTTGTTTCCTTTGAGAAATAAGAATTTTATTATCTGTTCTCGTTTCCTTTGAGAAACAAGAATATAGAGGTTGACTTGTGCTTTTGTGATAACGAAAGTCAGGGCTCTCTCTCAGGTGATATCGCTTCCGCGGCGGTGGGCGTGACTCCGCCCCAACATCCGTCTCGCCCTCGACTACGTCGTAACTTGCTGTAGTTCTACCTCGTCGTCGTAGCTCGCAGCCGTAGCTCGTTGTAGTTCTACCTCGTCGTCATAGCTCACCGTCCCCGCCTCGACCTCAACTACGCCGGAGTCCATCCTAACCCATATAAATCTTGGGTCAGTGCGGCTTATGAACTGTTCCATCCTTTTTTCTTACTTTATTATAATGGTGGAGCTACTTTGTTGTTATGTTAAAATTTTGTGTGCTTAAGCACGAAACTGGAAACATTTGGAAGAACGGACTTTTCAGGCAATCTGGTAACCAAAAAAATGAACACGGGTGGTGGTGGTTTTTTCCTTTCTTTCTTCTTTTTCTTTGGGAGGTTAGGTTTTTTTCAGGTGTGGTGTGCGTTGGGGAAAGCTGGCAATCAATATCAATTGCGCAAATCTTTACTTTTTAATTTGCATTTTAGATGCTATCCTTGTGAAGTAAGACTGGAATTTTTGCTCTTGTGAAAGAAATGAAGACATCACATGTCTTAAACCCTCTTAGAACTCATAATTGTTTTAAGCTGATTGATTTTCAGGTCACCAAAGCTTGAAGTCCTTTCAATCCAAAGCAGCCAGAGTGTAACCGATGCATTCATCTCCAGAATCGCACTAAGTTGTTCAATGCTTAGAGAACTCGACATCATTAACTATTATGAGATATCCTACAAATCGCTGGAAACAATTGGCAATAATTGCCCGAACCTCACAATTCTCAAAAGAAATCTCATGAACTAACAGGCGATGAGTTAGAATTAATTCATGGCTCTTGGGCTCTTGTGTTAGTTCTAACCCACCACGTGTTAGTTCTAACTCACCGCGTGTTAGTTCTAATTCTAATTCATGGCTCTTGGGTTCTTGTGTTAGTTCTAACTCACCGCGTATTAGTTCTAACCCACCGCGTGTTAGTTCTAACTCACCGCGTGCTAGTTTTAGTTCTAATTCATGGCTCTTAGGCTCTTGTGTTAGTTCTAACTCACTACGTGTTAGTTCTAACCCATCGCGTGTTAGTTCTAGTTCTAATTCATGGCTCTTGGGCTCTTGTGTTAGTTCTAACTCACCGCGTGTTAGTGTTAACCCACCGCGTGTTAGTTCTAACCCACCACTGTTAGTTTTAGTTCTAATTCATGGTTCTTGGTCTTTTATGTTAGTTCTAACTCACCACATGTTAGTTCTAACGCATCGAGTGTTAGTTCTAGTTCTTTGCCATACCACCAACACCTCACTGAATCCATAATTTTGGATTTTGATGCATGCTCAACTGTTGCATTACTGTCCTAGACTGGTTTATTTCGCATGTTTAGTATTTACTTTTGTAGAGTGAGATGTTAAAATTCTATACAAAATGTGGTATATTCTTCGCACAGATTCCACTAATGAAGCAGTGAGACTTTAATCATCTTCAAATGATAATTCCAAAATTGCAAGATTGTTCTGAGAACATCAAACACCTGAATCACATATCTCTGTCATTGACGCCTCACTTCATGTTGTTTCCAGCATTCTTGGACAAAGCGAGATTGTTTTCCTTAAAAGATTTTCAGATGGGGTTTCTCTTTGTTCTCTTCATCTTATGATTGTCATGCTCTATTCTTCGTGCTCAATGCTCAAGTGTATTGTGCATTGACACAAATAAACATCTGTTACTGATTTGACCAACAAGGCATAGTAGATTACAAGTTTAGTCATAGAAATGAAGCGCGATCTTGGGAAAGGTTTTGGAGGCAACGAGGGCATAAGCCTAAATAAAGTCCAGTTTGGTCTCCTGTACCTTGGAAGTGGTTGTTAGATTGTTATATATATCATGAAAACACCATATTTTTTAACATACACATAAATAACTGAAGAATACTTAGTTCATGTTAGTTCTAAAAGACTAACTCAGCATGAGCTAGAACTAACATAGCATGAGCTAGAACTAACACGAACTGAGTTAGAACTAACAGAACATGAATTAGAACTAACACAGTTTGTGGTCCATGTTCGTCCCCGTACAATATCAATTCTCAAATTACACATATATTACTAAAAAGGACATCGGCAGCAACAAAGAATTTAAATATATATATAAACGAACATCAAAATTTTCACTAAAAACAACAACAACAAATAATACACAAAATAACAACAAATAATACACAAGCCACCACCACTCTCAGCTCATCACTCTCAAAAAGAAAACAAAAGAATAGAGGACCTAACTGTAAAAGAGAGACGAGGATTGCCCACGAGAGTACGTGGAGGGAGAGCAACGATGTTCTTGCGCTGAACACATGAAATGGTTAGAGCAAGGAATAGATATATAGTTAATGGATGGTTAATGTGGAGAAGTACCGCTCGAAGAAGAGGGCGAGCAAGGAGATCGAGGAGGAGGGCGCTGATGAGCTGCTGGTACACGTTAAGCACGACGGCACTGACACCGTCGGCAAGCACGGACTGCTGGAGAACGAGGAAGAGGGCAGCGAGGAGTTGGCCATGGTGGAGGGGGCGGGGGTGGGGGTTGGTGGGGCCGTGGTGGTTCAGGGGTGGTGCGGGTTGGGTGAGGGCTTGGGTTGTGATAGACAGGCATTCGGGGGCCTGGGCGGAGGCGGCGACGGCGAGGAGGGCGAGAGCCAGAGCGACGAGCTTGAGAAAACCATTGGTTTTAGAGAGGGAGGGGGAGAGAGAGAGAGAGAGAGAGAGAGAGAGAGAGAGAGAGAGAGCTGGAGTTTGAGGGATTGAGGAGATGTGATAAAGACATTTTGGGAATTTTAGCTTAGTTGGTATGTAATAATTGTTATAAAGGGACTGGAGTACAAAATTTTATTTTATATTTTAAGGGGCTGAACCACATGGGGGAAAAGTGAAGGGGTTACAGGTAATGAAGTTTCTGATTTTAAGGTATTGACACATTTTTCCTTAAAAAAAGACAGATAATTTAGGATAACACAAGTTCTCCGCCGGTTGGCCGGTCAGTATCAATCCAGCACAAAAGATAAACACTCCTCATTTGCCTGTCCTTTTGGTGGGCCGGTCAGTATATCCTCATACAGCCTGTCTCAAAGGAGGTCAACGAAAATATAATACAGTAAAAAACGACAAGCAAGATCACGGAACAAATCCAAAAATTATAAGAATTCAATGACATTGTCAAAAGATGTAGCAGCAAAATGACGCAACAACGTAATGATATTACACACTTGAAAGAACTTTCAATGCTCCAAATGTCTGATCTTTGTTCCCATTTTTTAACTTTTAAGCCAAGTCCTTTACCATTATCTATCAAGCATCAAGAGTGGCTTATTGTTGAAGAAAAGCGATTCCGTGAACCTTTATTTACACATACTCCCACCCCTCAACCTAGCAATCACGCCAATCAAAACAGCAGCAAACAAAGCATAGCACAGCAGAACAAAAACACCCAAATCTGATGAAGCGAGGTCTCAACCTCCATCTCCTGCCTCCTCCGCCTCAAACTCCCTCCACTCCCCCCAACATAATAAGGACTACTCGAATTCGCAAACTGCATGCTTGCCGCCGACTCCTGGTGGTTCCTAAAAACCCAAGGCAGCACCGCTATCGCCATCCCGCCCAGCACTCCCCCAGCCGTGGAATGAATCACTCTGTTCGTCAATGAAGGATAATGATGATGATGCTCGTGCTGATGAACATGATAATGATGATGATGCCGATGCCTGTGGTTAGGGTTAGGGTTTTCTTCCTCGTCGGAGATCTCGGACTGTGATCTTTGGTGATGGACTGAGGAGTTGGGGCGTTGAGGAATGTTGGTAAAGGTTTGGTGGGAGGAGTTTTTGGTGCTGTGGCCTCGGCCGTATAGGGGGACGAGGGAGTCTTGGGAGAGGGAGGCTTTGCAGACGGGGCAGTGCTGGGTCGAGTCGGTGGTGTTGTCCATTTCGAGCCATTTGTAGATGCAGGGCCAGCAGTAGAGGTGGCCGCAGAGAGTGACGACGGGATCCACTGCGAAGTCTAGGCAGATGTTGCAGTCGAAGCTGGCTGATGACACTGATGGTTGTGGTGGAGGAGTTTCGCCTTTTTTTTTAGGTTCCTGTTCAATGTGGGGTTCTTCGATCGCTTCGGTGAAGTAGCCATTTGGAATGCCTTCGACCTCCATATAGGAATTGGCTGATACAAACAAAGTAATTGGTTAGCTTTTTTGGTGCAGAAAGGGCTGTTAGTAGTCACCAGGAGAGAACTTAAAATATACTAGGTAGAATTAAGAGTAAATCTTACAAAACCCCTGAACTAGGGTGTTTTACAAGAACAGAACTCTGACAAACCTTTTAAATCATAGAAATGCTAGAAGAATTATCTTCACTTAGGTACCAAGACTGATAGCAGTGACTCAGCTACTTCAGAACTTTACCCCGGTCTACTAAATATAACTTCTAAAGAATCCTTTCTAGGTATACATAAAAAGTAAAGAGGGGATAGACTTTTTACTCTACATGTTGACATTTGTGAGAATTTCCAATACTTCAAGTTGTTTAGAATAACTTTGAACGTTCAGAAGGATTTCCTATGATTTATAGAGTTCAGAAAGGTTTTGTCAAATTTACCCATAGAACTATTCTGAAAATTGTTAAGAGGCTTCAGATCTGAAAAGGAATAAGGAAGCAAGGGTAGGACTGTTTGCGGGAAAAATTGGAAGAAAATTGAGAAATATATTAATATTATTCTTCCTAACTGACTTAGGAAAAGAATAAATACAATCTCTCAAAGTAATCTCTCTCTAATTGACTTAGAAAAAAATTTATAATTTTCTTTATCGGTTTTCCGAGTTACAAAAAAGAGAAGGAATCGACAAAGATTCTTCCCTTTGTTTAAAATTGGGTTCTCGGTGACGATAGGAGCTTGAATCTTGTATCACGTTGACGATCTGAACACGTCGCTTCGTGAAACTTTATCTTTTCCTCATGACTTAATGTCGGGAAGAACTTGCAAGGCAAGTTTAAGACTCTAAACGAGTTAAAAACTCTATAAAAGAGTTAATTTTAGAAAGAAAATTAGATCATTTTAAACTAAAATAAGCTAAACAGTCAATCTTAAAGTTCTTCAACCGAAAACGGTTCAAAAGCCAAGCCAAAAGCTCTAACAAAAGCTCTTAACAATGCTCCAAAAGCTCTTTCCAAAGCGAAAAGATCCAAAGCTCCGATTTCAGCTGAATTCTCAGGTATTTATAAGGTTTAAAGGTTATAACTGACCCCTTAATTCGTTCCATAATAGGGGCTTAATGGCCCCATTACGTACAAAACGGTTTTGAAACCGTTCAAATCATGTTTGAAGCAGTCAAACGCGAGGTTCGTGTTTGGGAGTGAGCACCGCGTTCAGCTTCTGAAATGCGGAGGTGAGCTCCGCATTTGGCTTTTGAAACATGGAGGTGAGCCCCGCGTTTGAAGTTTGGAACGCGAAGGTGAGCCCCGCGTTTAGAGTTTGAAATGCGGAGGTGAATCCCGCGTTTGGAATTCGGAATGCGATGGTGGACCCTCGCGTTTGACCTTGAAGAGATCGTCAATTGTAATCTTTTTCTTCGAGTGTTGCAAGGATAGTCAGCTTGTAATCCTTATATTTGGTTCTTGAAAATGTGAGAGTCGTCAATTTGTAATTCTCGTTTGTTGTTGCGAAAGTCATCAGATTGTTGATATGAAAGTTATCAAATTATAACTTTCATCATCAGTACTTTGCGGGGATCAGCTATCTGCAGTAATTTTTAGACAGCCTACAAGGACAATGACACCACAACAACCAGAACGAAAATAGAAGACTGATTTATTCTTATGGCCACCTAACTGAACATGATATGGTCTAAATACATACCACACGAGATATGGGCCTATATGAAGAGACTAGATAACTACCATGGCACTACAAAGCTTTTCAGCAAGATGTATACAGATTTGGATGAATAACAGGCGTCATCATCATAGCTGGTTATGAAAACGGATATTTGCCTGATTTCATCTCCATCAAGAAATGAACCATTCATATACAACAAAAGATTGTAAGCAAATACTAAGAGTCATACATATAATTTAGCTAGTTTTAGGAAAGAACAGATTACAGTGGTTATCTAATACGATCTGAGAAGTTTACAATAGTGAACATCGCTACACTAGATGAAGAGATAATATGTCCAAATTCCCACTACCAAGCATAACATTTTTCTCATGAACCTTTGCTCCGCATACAATTTCATTAAACAAATATTGATAGTTTGATGCTGGCTATAGTAGATAGAGAACAAATAAATGCCAACTCGGAACCAAAAAAGTACTAGTCAAGAAATAAATGGGTATCAAGAAGGTTATACAGCTAACATTACCTCCTAGCTCCCTAGCATACTATATAACACCGGAAAATAAACCTGCCAGACTTATTAAAAATTCCTGTAAAAATCTCTCAGAGCTATGCCGAACTCAGCCAATTGTTAGATAAGACCCGTCTCTTGGGCTTGTAATGGCTACCTAACTAAAAAGAGCACACATCTGAGGTATGCATAATCCGATAGACCTACCAAAATGTTAATTACACCATCATGATTTGTATTAAAACCAAAGGCAAGCCTTTTTCAAGCCAGATTTGGAATTCTCTTGAACCAGTGCTTCAAGATTTTATAAGCCAAGCAGCAAATAAATATACATACAGAAAAAAAACGAAAACAGGGGAGAGAGGGGGGGGGGGGGGGTCTACTGTTAAACCAGGTTAAAAGGTTAAACCAAAATGGTTGTCAACAAGTGAAATCACCCCAAGAGATATATGTTCCAACATCAACCGAACAAGGACATGTGCTAGAAGAAAAACAAATTAATAAACAGCATATGGACAAGATATGAGCACTGAGGCAATGCCCAATCCTAAAACAAGCACATGGGTCCTTTCTCATAATTAAAATTCTTTAAGAAGCGGTAGAGAAATAGAAGGTTATGAGGTCCTACTTTGTCCTCTCCTCTATCCACTTCTTACAGTCTGCTTCAGAGATGAATAAACAAAAAATGAAAAAGGAAGTACGGGGCCAAAAGGACTATGGACAGGATGATAAAGCTGCAGATATGTTTCAAGTTCCTTCACCATGTATTTTATCTAAGTTTACACGGAACTATAACTAGTTAAAAAAAAAGATTGGCAGAGACCAGAGAATAAGGAAACACGTGAATGGTGTAAAGATATCAAAGAGAGAGCACTGAACCCTGCCAACTCCTCTGACGATAATAGGCGACCAGCACCATCAGTGAATTTTTATTTTGGTTCTAGATGGGTAGAAAGAAATTGCTCCTTTTAAAATAAGGCACTGGTGTTTGGTGGTGGCCTATTATTATAGCAAGAGAATTTAGGGTCTAGATGTTAATTCAGATTATGGGCATTGCTACCCCATAATACTTCTCAACATGTTGTCAAGTAGTGGAAGCACATTAGAGCATGTTTGTGAATTGGTCAAAGTGGCTTATAAGCCAAAAAAGGGCTTATAAGCCACTAGAACATGTTTGGTAAACATCTTTTTTGACTTATAAGCCAAAAAAATATAAGTTAGGATAATCCAACTTATTTTTGGTGGCTTATAAACCATATAGTTTGACCAAGTAAAAGACTACTATACCCCTTAACATTTAAGAAAATTCAAAAGCTTTCTATTCTCTATCTTCAACCATTTTTTGATCATTTTGACAACAAAGATGGATTATAAGCCATCCTTTGACAAACAATCTACTAATGGAAATGGACTACAAATATAATACATTAAATTTACCAAACACTTTAGATTATATCCAATTGAATTATAAACCATTTGTTGATTATAAGCTAAGTGGATTATAATCTAAAATTAAAAAACATAGCCCAAGGGACAACAACAGGAGCAACAGGTTCTTAAATGGCGGTTAATTTGTCCTTTGAAACTTTAAAATAGTATCACTGCACCCCATCTGGCAACTTCCCTTAAACCAGATTAATGGAAGAAAAAAGGGCTCGGCATTAAACTTAGTTTGACATTAAACCTACCACAGAAAAAAATCCAAATTTGGACTTAAAACTGGTTTTGTTAGGTCAATTTTGGTCTTTTAAACTAATTTTGTTTTGTTCCATCTTGTCGACTCCAGATATAAACTGATTTAAACTGATATTAGTTTAGGGAGAGTTGCCAAACTGGCCCTAAGGCTCCAACTTGTGCTAACTTTTCACGAACTCTCTCATGTTCTAGATTTACCATTAGTAGACAACCCTCGTTTTAAATATTTGCTTCACTTTTACTAGCATGCAGAATAGTAAATTTTCAATAAAATAAAAATATGAAGTTTTATACAGCGTGAGGCATTTGAATGGACACTTGACAACTAACTATTACAAAAAAAAAAAACCCGAATATTTTTTACTTAAAAGTGAGTCCTGATGGTTAATTACCAAAAAAATGCTTTAAATGTGGTGTACGTATAAATTTAAAATCAAAGGTGGTTTCTATAGAATGACTCTATTCTAAAGGTGGTTTCTATGTAAAAATTTGTGGAAAACATCTACTATCTAACAATATGTATAAGAATTCAATAATATATCGGTACCAAATAAACAAGTGGTACAATACTGGTCATTGATAATCAACGGTTCCGCTACTATTGCATATTAAGTTATAACCACTCCTCAAGAACTAAACTTGTGGAAGGCATCCAGTTCTTGTGGAGATCAAGTGGAGTGTCAATTAATTATTGATTAAAACTATTATTCTAAGGGGAAAAAAGAAAAAAAGAACTCAAGCTGGTAATTATTATTGCAGCCACAGTAGTGCATTAAAAGGAGAAAGCAGGATATCTAATCCTAATTTTCTTTTAACCCTTTAATTCCAAAAGGGCAGTCAAGGAAAATGCTCTTTTCTTCCTTTAGAAGCGGAAAATATTATTATTGTCACGAAATCGTTTTCGAACCATTTCTCCTTCCTTTGTTTTTACTTAAAAGTGGAATGCGAACAATTTTTAAGTGATGAATTTGCCCGTGAAATTTTCATTAAGCACCCTGATTAAAATATTGGCAATTCCATCAACCTAATTTCTGCTAGAGTAGTCTTATATCCCAGAAAAAAATTAAAAAACTACCCTTTTTTCTATAGAAAATAAACGAAAACAACAATAAAAAAACTACCCATTGACATGAGGCAGTAGTTTTGAAGTAAGAAGTAACTTTGAAAAAAGCAGCTTTTAGCCTATTACATTCAAGCACCGCTGTTTTTGCCTACCACTGTCACTACTTCGAAAATTTGTCAAGAGCTTATATTAGATATCAGAAGGAGGAAAAGAGAAAAGCGGCATTACGACACTTAAACGAAATTCCCCCAATTCTTATGCACCAAAAATTCCTCTGCGGGTCTAAGAGCTGAGTATAAAGTACATGAGCACAAAGAAAAGGGTGCATTTTTCATTCACCAACTTTGTCTAGTGTTAAAAAAATGCTAACTTGCATATACAAAACCAAAGCATAGGTATCACCATCATCAATCACAATAAAAAAAAGCTTAATTAATATGTACAACACTAATTTGGGGACGATATTAACAAGCCTAAACATGAAATTATCCCTCAAGAAAACAATTTCATCGCAAATTTGGAAATTAGTCTGTCTATGAAAGAAATCAGCAAGATCCATTGACAATCAATAGAAATGACCCCTTTGGATTGCTAGCAACAACAACCGGAAGACATTGGATCCATCAATTCAAAACCCTAATAAAATAATCCGATGCAATAGAAGAGAAACATTTTCTCAATCAAAAGAAACGATCCTCGTTGCGATCAAAGAAGAGAACAATTTTAGAAGAAAAACCCATCTAAAAGGGGGGAAATAGTAATGGAGGGAGCAATTGAGTGCGAATACCTGCAACTGCGTTGGAATCTCCTTGTATCTTCGATTCTTCTTTCGCTTTTCCCTTTTTCCCAAAATTCAAACGAAGTTTCGCTGTTGAGCTCCGAGAATGGCGAATTCTAACGGAAAAGAGAGAGAAAACGAGGACGGGGCTCGTTAAAAATAGCGAAGTTGACGAAATGAAGTCGAGGGAAGCGGAGGAGGGTAGCCGCCCCTTTCTAGGTTTTTATAGGCGAGCGGAGCTTGGACTCGCTCGCTGAGGGCTGTTTGTTTTGTTTCTTTTGCCCCTGATTCCGGTCAAAACTGACAGCTAGCTGTCATTTTTGATAGCTTTTCTATCAAAACGTTTTTAGGGGCTGTTTGGTTCTTTTTTTTTTGTGGTAAAAATAAGAAAAGCTGTCAAAAATGTCAGCTTTTTGACAGCTTTCCCCTAAAACCACCCCTTAAAAAAGTGATTTTGGGGAAAGCTGCCAAAAAGCTAGGGCTGGGCATATTCGGTTCGGTTCGGTTTTAAGCCAAATCCGCATCCAATCCGAATTTTTCGAATTCTCAAAACTCTCATCCAGATCCAGATTTTTCCCCCTTCATCCGAATATTCGGCCCAACCGAAATTCGGATCGGTTCGGATCGGTTTCGGTTTTGGGCCGAATTAATTCCATTTCACAAAAATCTGCCCACACCTGAGATCATTGCCTATAATGTTATTATGCGCATATAATGCTTTTGTTCTACTTCATCTGTAAATAATACCTCGCAGTTTCTCTGGAATTGTTGGTGTGATTAAACAATAATTACATCTAAATATTCCTTGTATATAGATTTTCGGTTGTTAGCCATGGCTTCAGCTTCTTTTCTTCCTCCGTTCCTAGAATTAATTATACATAGACCCATTTATTATCATGTTGTGCCTCTTATTATCCTTTGAAGGTGAGGACGGTAATGGTGGCGTTTAGTTTGGTTTGGTCTATCTGTTAATATCATACTACAGGTTTCAATTAACCCATTTAATAGTTGAGAAAGCCCAGAAGATATATAAAGAGAATATAAAGATACTTTGAAAGGCAAAACTTCACGATGGACCAAATCTATTGCTTATAATCTTTTATACCACTGACTAACTATAATAATAATAATAATAATAATAATAATAATAATAATAATAATAATTCGGTTCGGTTTTTTTTCGGGCGGTTCAGGGGTTCAAACCGGATCCAGACCGGTTTAATTCGGTTCGGGCGGTTTAGAGTCTTCTTCTCATCCATTTAATTCGGTTCGGTTAACCGGACCGCTTTTTCGGGCGGTTTTTTCGGTTGAACCGGTTTTTTTCGGTTTTTGCCCACCCCTACAAAAAGCTGACATTTTTGGCAGCTTTCTCCTCTTTTACCACCCAAAAAAACCTATCCAAACAACCCCTTAAAAAAGACATTTTGGCAAGAAAGCTGTCAAAACTGACAGCTTTTGGTTCCTTATTTTTGAGGGAATGTCTCTTTTGAAAGCTTGCCAAAAATACTAAAAGGGTCACTTTTTGGCAGGCTTTCAGCCAAAATCTTCTTTTTTAGAGGCGATTTTGGTTGAAAGCCTGCAAAAAAGTGACGTTTAGGCTTTCAGCCAAAATCTTCTTTTTTAGAGGCGATTTTGGTTGAAAGCCTGCAAAAAAGTGACGTTTTTGATACTTTTGACAGACTTTCAAGAGAGCCTCTCCCTCAAAAACAGGGAACTAAACAGCCCCTAAGTCTCGCACGTGTGACGCCAATTATCGATTTCTTGTGTCTTGTGAAATTGAATTTCCATTTTCTGAATTTTGGTTTTCCTCTTGGACAAAGATGATCTGTTCTATAGACAAATTTCAAATTAGTTTTGCGCTATGAGAAATAAAAGTGAAATTCATAAAAATTCACAATTATTTTTATTCGTTTAGTTGTGACAATGTTCTTTGTTTAATGTTCTTTAAATATTGATGGGATCGAAATATGAAAATTAGATTCTGTTCATTAATAAAGATATGTTATAGCATCTATCAATATTATGAAGGAAAATTACATTAAAAATATAAATTCGATAAAGATGAGAAAATGATTAGTTGAGAATCAATTAATAATATCTTCACATGTTCTAGAGCGATATAAAAAGTGATCCACACATATTCCATACAGATGTTATGTAGCTCTTACTGATAAAGATAACTCATGCCTATTTTGCTTGTAAATATTTTTCATATACTATTCTTTTAAGCATATTGAACATCTTGTTTATACAAATTTCCTTCTTCTAAGTATTCATGTAGCGCATATTTGATTGAGAAACTCAAAGCATGTGTTTGGTTTGACTGAAATTGAAAGAAAGGAAAAGAAAGTGAGAAAGAAAATTATTTTTAACTGTTTGTTTTGAATAAAAGAAGAAAAAAATGAAAATGAGAGAAATCAGAAGGAAAATGGACTAAAGCTTTTCCGTTCCTTTTCCTCGTCGGGACCTAACGAAAGCAGTGAAAACTTTATCGAGGAAGAAGGGAATGAGCTTGAGAAAGGGAATGAATACATCACGTCACCAAAAATGTTACTCACCCAGTTGATTTTACTACATGACCCCCAAGTGGAAGAATTAAATAGGTGTAGTCCGCTTTTAGGCACAAAAAATATTCTCTTGCTCTACCCCATGCAGCATACGGAAATGTTACATTAACCCTCTAATTTTTCATAAATTAAAAAGGTTTTATTTTAGTCCGTTAGGCCTTTCATAATTTGAAACGAGCTCAAATGAATAAATTTCTAATAGGCCCTCCAACATTGAAGTTAATTCGGAATAATTCCGAGCCGACACCTCACTCGCCCCATGTTTTTGTGTCCCTAAGACATTTTTCTTATTGAAATTGTCATCAAGTCCACAATTCACATAAGTTGTTTGGAACCGTACTAACAATTTAAATGATTTGAGGATTTCAAAATCACATAATAATTTAACAGTCTAATAACAATTTCAATGACTTGAGGGACTCATTCAAAATACGAAAGATGTAAGGGAGTAATATTGGAAAAAAAACATTTTCTTTAAATTTTATGTACACAGGAATATAGTCATTTACCAAGCATCGATCTTTTCTTATGATGGACCAACAACACTTGCATCGAATTTTCATCTAAAAAATAAATTTATAAAAATTATTAATATAGATTGTATATAACATGAGTTAATTGTTGTTTCTACTTTGTTTTTATTAAACTATTATTATTTTCCTCACAATTTTCTTTTCAATTCTCTTCCTAATCAAGGACTCTTTTTTTCTTCCCCCCACCCCACCCCACCCCACCAAGGGCTTATGGTCGCGACTTGATGTAGTTATCGATATCTTATTGTTAAATAAATCAAATTGAACCTTTCACCTTTCTACTTAAAAATTGTATTTTGCAAGAAGGATAAAAATTCATAGTGCAAAAAAAAAAACTAGCAGAATTATGACAATATTTAAATATTTTGATGTAGACAGACGAGCTATTTAATTATAATTGCAAATCTCTTGTATAATTGCACAAATGCTTTGAGACTTTTTGTTACTTGCGAAGTGTCAATATCTTCCCTTCTCTAGTCCTTGAATATATGATTATATTTAGACCTTGAACCTACAAACTATTATCGTTGAGCACATAGCAATGTGGAGATTAAAGTTAGAAATGGATTCTATTAAAATATTTCCAAAATAAGAGTCCAATCAGTGCAGCTCAAAATGGTCCATTCAAGTTCGAATTATTCGGATCAGTTGTCGAGATTTTTCCTAGCGAGCAATAACGATCACTAGCTGGTGCTCGCTAGCTGAAGAATGTGACAGTTTGATGTTGACCTTTGCTATTATCTTCCATTCTAAACTTGCATTAAAAAAAAGAAAATGATAGAGACACACTCTTAGGCACACCACCAACCATACTCTTCCTGCTACAGTGTAGAGGTCTCACATGTGATTTTTTAAAAAAAATCATACGTGGGACCTCTACACTGTAGCAAGAGAGTGTGGTTAGTAGTGTGTCTAAGGGTGTGCCTGTAGCGCCTCATTTTGCTTGTTGGCCATCCAATGGAATTTTATTTCATTAGATGCACGTCAATTTCTATAAATATATGTGGATTCATTATGAACAGTTTGTGATGGCTTTGTGGTCCTATTTAGTGCATTATATATGATTGTTGTGAATGATTAGCTCTCATAACAAGTATTTTAACATTTATGAATTTTATACTACAAGTAACTAAATATTGTCGAGGCCAGGCCCGCCAGATTTGCTTTCAGATGAAGCACAAGTGTTTTTTTTTTAATTTAAATAATCTAGTTCAAAATCAAACCTAAAATTAGGAGAGATGTATTGAAATTTATTGAAGTCATTATTATATGAGTATAGTCGCACGTTGTATTAGATACAAAGTAGCGAGTGGTTTAGATAGAAGTCCATTAACCGTTTCTTTTGAGTTAAAATTAGATCTTAGCCTCCACTTAACTCTAGATCGGGCCCATTTACTTCTCAACGAAACTTTCCAACCACAGTGGGTAGAATAAATTTGGTTTTCTTTAGCCATTATTCGATTTCGCAATTACATATTTTTACTTCAATTATGAAAGGATTAGGGTTAACTTCTATTAACACATCGATCGTCTTGGGTTCAATTTCAAGGACATAATATTTTTCTTTATTACATGAAAATCCCATGAAATTTTGCGGACAAACTTTGCTTCTAATTTATGTACGTGGTACGAGGATCAGATCGGTGGATGTGGCTTTTAGATGCGCGGGGCGCGTAAGAGTTCACCTGATAGCAGAATCAGCTGGTAACTCGCCACTCGCCACAAAAAAGGAAGGATGCCTTCACTAATCATTCTCAGACCCGTATTCACAAATTTGCCAAGGTCAAGAGATTGAAGAAAGATCAAGAAGTTTTCAATGAATATATCATGTTTTGGCCTCATCCTGGCGAAGACCAAGCACTGATGCGATGGGGTACTAACAGCAGGCAACTTGCACGACCACATGACCGGATTCGGATTCAGATCGCATTCGAGCGTTGTCAGCTCCCCATATCTGTGGGCTCACGCGAAAAACTTGTGTGCTCTACTCTCTGGTTCTGCTATATGTAATAGAGTTGTATTGGTACTATTCTAATTAAGTGGAGCCCGGATTTGCTCAGGATGCCCGCATTCGAGCAGCCGGATCTACTCCGTACAAGGGATTAGTATGGGAGAAATTTTGGAATTGCAACCCCTATTTGTATTTGTAAGGAACATGACCGCCCACTCAGAGCATCTCCAACAGCTTCTCATTTCCCACTTTTGAAGAATTTAGTTAGGTTTTTGGTCCAACAGTTTTCTCATCTAATTCCTCAAAATAGGGATGGAGGAGAAAAAATGGGGAAGCTTCCCCAAATCTGCAGCATTCTCCAAATTTTTGGAGGAAAAAATGGATTCTTCAAAATGGGGAAGCTGTTGGAATTGGTGTAAAAATAATTTAAAGAATATGACTTTTGTTTCCCCATTTTGGAGAAAATTTTGGAGAAGCTGTTGGAGATGCCCTCACCCGCTAGCGATTCTGAGATGAACATTTATTCATTCTATTCTATGTATATTAAGGTTAACACGTTGATCCTATCACAAATTAAATAACCCTGTTCTCTCTCTAATTTGTTTGGTGCATGAACGGCGGCGATTGGGCCGCGCTGGCTCACAAGTCACAACCCGCACAGAACCAGCTCGTTGCGGGTCGAAAGAAGAACAGAGAAATATAAAAAAATAATAAGAAAAAGAAATAGTGAGCTTATGACCAACTTGGTTCAACTTAGATGAGCCGAGTCAAATAGGGTTGCGCTCCAACCCTGGACACCCTGGCTTTGGCTCGACCCACCCTCAAGATGGGCCCGGGTTGATCCCGTCCATATCAACTCGGAACCAGCGGAGCCGCGGCTTGAGTCGCCAGCCCTGTGCACTAGTACGCACATTTCTAACTCCTTGAGTCCTTGGGGCAAGCTAAATCTTTACCGTAGTCAATTTTTTAAACCATTTTGTTCGACTCTGCTTATGTTGCTGAGTCACGACGCAGTCCGAGTTAACAAGATAATAACGGAACTAACAAAAGGAGCATATCAAAAAAATAATTTTACTGTGAAAGCAAGTTTTCAAGAATAATAATAATTGTGAAATCTACACACTTGTATTCGCCCTTGGTTGCTTATTTTGATATTGTTGAGGATCGTGAGGTTACAATACTCCCACAGGAGATGTCCTGAATATGCTTTGGGATATGCTGGGAAGCTTCTCTAATATGTAGAACGGGTTGATTTCACATAACCCCCTGGATTTTAGGGGCGTTGCACATGAACCCCTGAGTTTTGTTTATCTCACATAATCTCTTTGATTTTTAGGATGTCTCGCAAAATCCCTCTTAACTTTTCTCACTCGAGCACCTACATGTGTAGTTTGTAAATAATTAAAATTTTCTTGAGAGAAAAAAACCCAAAATTGATGGGAGGATGTATGTTTCCTGTAAATAACAAATGACAAAGTTCGAAGTTTTTTCTCTTTAAAAAATACTTCAGTTATTTGCAAATTACAGATATGGAAGTTAGGTGAGATAACAATGAGGTTTTGTGAAACACCTCCAAAGTACAAAAAGATTATGTGAGATAAACAAAATTCAGGAGGGTCGTGTGAAATTAACCCTACATAAAAACACACATTTATAGAGAGAGAATTTTTGGATAAGATAAAGTAATCTTGAGTTTGGAATTATCCCAACTTGGCATGAGGTTAGGAACTTGAACCTATCATGTATGCAGATGTAATAGGGATTGATATTTGCTAAAAGTAACACTTCAGTACCCCAAATTATAAAAAAAAAATAGCACTTTAATACGCTAAGTTATGAAAAATTGGCATTTAAATACCCTACTATTTCACCATATTTATACTTAAATATTCTAAATTATAAAAAGTAGCATTTTAATACCCAAGTTATAAGAAAGTAGCACTTTAATACTCTTAAGTCGTAAGAAAGTAGCACTTTAATCTTTTGTTAATTGTCGCGACATATTCCTAGAAACATTCCCAAGACAACTAACAAAAGACACTAACATGTTAATTTTTTACAACTTAGGATACTAAAGTGCTACGTTTTACGGCTCAGGATGTTTAAGTATAAAGATGGGGAAACCATAGGGTGTTTAAGTGCCATTTAACCTCATTTATAATTTTGATACTACGTGCAATTACCACTAGAATGACAAGACTGGACCTCCTGATCCCATCATCATCGGTTTTACAGCAAAAATAATCTTCAGTCGCAGGGCCACCGCCACGACCTGTACCAAATCCATCTCCATTCTCCACAACAGCAGCAGCCCCCTCGTTGGATCAAAACCAGCCAGTGGGAAAATATTGCTGGAATCCCAGAAATGATGCGACCAGCATCAGCCACACCATCCTTCTCTTCCTCACCAAGAAAGAGAGGAGACCCACCGACTCATATGCGGACTAAATACAAACATTTGTACGAAAGGTACCAGGATTAGTCCGCACACCAAGTCTCAAACAAGTTGAAACTCTTATGCACTGAGTCAATCTATACGTACTACCAACCTTTGAGATTCTCCCGCTTCCCTACTACCATTGATAACATGAACCTTCGCACCTGATGCTAAATGGATGGATATAATGCACTCCCCTTCACACATACTATTATTGTCAAGAGGGGTGGTTAAAGAATAATACTAAGACCTTGTTCTTCCTTAATAATATGAACAAATTTGCTTAATATTCATTTATATCTTTCCTCTTTCTCAACTTCCATGTGCCAAAAACAAATAGATATACAAAGCCCAACTTTTGAGAACTACTTCCAAGCAACAAATTCCTTGCCAACAATTGTGAAAGTTCAGGAATCAACAGGTAAAGAAGACTAAAAAATGGTGAGTTCTCAAAGTAGAAAATTTGATCTCAACATCCAAATGCACAAAAATAAAAGTGAATAGTACAACGATACCTGCCAGTGAACGTACAATAAAATTATTGTCTCATGGAGATAACAGTGACTGTAGTCTCCTTTCCTATATACATAAACTCATACAGACACCAACTAAGGAAGAAGTGAAATACTCTGATTAAAAATAGGACATAAAACAGTTATAAATCCTTAAAATAGGTTAAATTACTTACCCATCTATACAAATTTCTCAATGGATGTAATCAGGGTACTCTCTGGAACAGCTCCAATCACAGCATCTTTCTTCTCACCATTCTTGAAGATCATGATCGTTGGAATGCTCCTGATCCCATATTGAGTTGCAATATCTGGGTTTTCATCCGTGTTGAGCTTATAGCATTCCAATTTACCTTCGTATGTCTTTGATAGCTTGCCGATGACAGGAAGAATCAGTTTGCAAGGCCCGCACCATGGAGCCCAAAACTCGACAAGCACAGGCTTATCACACTCCACTACAAGTGATTTCCATGTGTCTTTCATCACGTCACGAACTGAAAAAGGAGAGTGCAAAGGATAGGAATTAATTGGATTTTGTAAGAAACAACACCCTTCAAAAAGAAACGCTAGTTCCTCGAGACTAAATTTATACATGATGCTCTCTGCAGATAAGAGACAAACTAGTTATAATCTTTATTACCTACAATATGCAGCTAACATAATATGCAGATACAACCCATAACTATGAGGGTGCGGCCACGTATACCAGTAAACTATTTTACCAGCACTTACACCTCCTGGACTCTATAGACAAAACAATTTTCCAAGTTAGTTTGAGATAGCTCATGGGAATCCATGAAAATAAGTTTATCTTTATCCTCTGTTTAAGTTGAAAAAAAAGACTAAATTAGAGGAAAAAAAACGTAAAGCATGTACAATTAGAGTCATTTTATTGCTCGTAAAAAGGTTTAGGAAGTGTAAGTGGTCACACCTCCATAGTACATTGGGTGTATCCACGATCAACCCTTTATAAAATAAGGTACACCATAGTATAATCATAAAATTAAGATGTTGAAAATGCAGTAAAGTTCTGTCACAAACTTTAATTTGGCGAGTAAAGTTGCATGGGCAGCATTGCAAAGCCGTGAAAAGTGATGCTTATTTTAGCAATGAAAGATGTACTTGAACAATTTCAAAAATGAATTCACTTCAGTTAAGGAGAAAGAGGAAAATTAGAGATATAGCCTATATGCATGAAAGAAAGTAGAAAGTGCCTATCCGGATTTCAGCTTCTTTTGTTTTCTTCAAGATAAATTTCAGCTACATTTTTATGTTTCTAGAACTAGTTTCAGTTATTGAGTTCACTGATAGAACAAACTAATACTACCGATGAATATGGAGTACATGATAATCATTGAACAAGTGCCTCTAACGACAAAGAGAACAATATAACATCAAAGATAAACCAAATGTGCTGGTTGAGTTGTTTCAAAACAAACAATCACAGTTTTTGAAGGAAATTAACCGTATTACTTCAAGTTGAAAAGGGAGAGGTAAACGCTGAACATAAAGAACTACAGGAGGAATGAATTCTAAGATTCACAAAGGCATGAATTCAACATTTTCGGGTAGAAATAACAAGGAGCTGCACAGGATTGCTCGCAAAAAGATTTCACACCAACTGTGATACATTTTCTTTGTGTGAAAACCAAACTTGCAGTTCCTTAACTAGTTATAAATTTATAATCTGGCGGATACCATGTTCCTCGATTGTTAAATGTTTAATGCACATTAAGTTCTGAACAAAAGACAGCAATCACACTGAGGTTTTACATAACAACCTCCTATTTTTCCAATTGACAAACAAGAGAATCTTAAGGAGACGATAAAAACATTTTCAGAACAAGTTCCCCAAACAGAAAATCTATATAGCCCATAAGATAATTAGTAGTTGAAACTCATGGTAATCAAATGGGAGCGAAACACGCTAACCAAGCCTATAATAGTATAAGTTAATAGTGTTAATGCTGAAAAAAATATCTTTTTTTTTTGAGTTATTAAAGAGCTAAGCACCAGATTCTAAGTTTAATCAATGTCAATCAGTCCTCTTTCAATCCATTATCTGTGATGGATGATGAATATATAACCTATGAAGCACGGACACGGCGACACGGACACGGCAAAACCCAAAAAAATAGAACACGGCGAAACGGCTAGATTTTTTTTAATATTATTATTATATATAGATAAATTTATAAAATTCAAACAACAAACTAAAATGTAATTCTCAAACACAAAATACTAAGCTACTAACAAGTCTAACAATGCAAACATATAAAAATTACAAGAGAATAAAGATCAAGTTGCAACTAGTTCCATGGCTACAAAATATTAAGTCACTAACATTGCAAAAATATAAAAATTACAACCAAAAGCGTATCTTAAAATAAAGTTTTCAAGTTGAAACATCAAAAAGATCGTTCTATGGCTTCAACTCCTTCATCATGTATATAAACATTTTAGAGAGAAAGAGAGAGAAAGAGAATGAGAGAGAGACGAAGAGATCCAAAGAGAGAGAGAGAGACGAACCGATCGGTCGAGAGAGACGAAGAGATCGAGAGATTGGGAGAGAGAGACGAAGAGATCGAGAGATCGGGAGAGAGAGACGAAAAGATCGAGAGAGAGAGAGAGAGACTGACCTAGCAGCGACGAGCCGACGAGGACGAGGACGAGCCGATCTCGGGGGGGGAGCCGATCTCGAGAGAGAGAGAGACGAAGGGATTGTGGCGGCGTCGGGACTCTGGTAAGTGGAGAAATTAGGGTTTGGCTTTGGGTTTCGGGTTTTTCTTTTTTGTTTGCAAATCCCAGCCGTGTCGGGAACGAGTCGAGGGCGTGTCAGGGCGTTGACGCGTGTGGGGGCGTTGACCGCGTGTCTGACGCGTGTCGAACGCGTGTCCGCGTCTGACACGCGTCGGACATGGACTCGGGGCCAAATTTCGTGTGTCGGTGCTTCATAGTATATAACTATACAAGCACACAAGTAGTTGTAAACATCATACTCCAAACAAAATTTTTTGTTAAATGCAACACTGGCATAAAAAAGATGCACTTTAACACCCCTTTGAACTCCCTCTGCACATGCTATTACAGACTACGCAGAAATTATGTGATAGGTTATTAATCTATCAATGATTTGGTGACTACTTGAATAGAATAAATGTTGCCAACAAACCATAAAACATATCTTAAGAGTCGGAATAGAATTTACAAATACAATAAAAGTTCAAAAATACGCTTATAACATATAACACAAAACAATATTGTAGGCTGTCTAAAAATCACAAAAGATAGTTGATCCCCCATCAAACACCGATGATGGAAGTTACAATCTGACGACTTCCAGAAGGCTATAATTTGAGGACTTTCACTTAGAAGGCTACAATCTGACGACCTTCACGACAACTGATGAAAGCTCTAATTCAACAGCATTCACAATCAACATCGGGAGTTACAATCTGACGACTCTCATATTTTATAACAGGCAAAGATCAATAAGCAATGGCCTTTGCAATGTTATAATGGACGAGGTTATAAGCCAACAATCTCTCTCAAACGCAGAAATTCACTTCTGCGTTTTTCAAGTTCAAAACGCACACAAGTGTGCGTTCCTTAGCAGGCGTCGAACTCTGTAACACAGAGTTAAATCACGAAACGCACACGTAACGTGCGTTCTTCGACAAACTCGACTGCATCCCAAACTCTGAACGCAGAGTTGATCCTCAACGCACCAGTGACCTGTGCGTTTCCAATTTCAGAACGCATGCGGCCTGTGCGTCTCAAATCTCCAACAGAGATTTAACTCTGCGTCCTAAGTCTTGGACGCAGAGTTAAAGCCCAAACGTGGCCTGTGCGCCTGTGTTGCTTGAACTGCTGAACGCAGAGTTCAGCTCTGCGTTCTAACGCCCTAGCACAGAGAATCTGCCTGTGTGTTCAGCCACCAAGATAGGCCCAACTTTGCGTTTTTAGTCTAAAAACGCAGAGTTCGGGCCCTGAACGCTATTTTTCAGCGTTTGACTCGTTCAAAGCACGCAATGAACAGTTCCAGGAACTGTTTTTCCCCCACGATTTGAGGGATTTTCGCCCCACTTAAGAGCGGATTAAGGGGATAGTTACTACTCTTAATCCCCTATAAATATCAGAAACTCAATTGAGTTAAGGGATCGAATTTTCTCTCATCATCAAAGGGAGATTCGGTCAAAAGGCTCTTGGATCCTTCTTTTTTTTGGAGGGAGCAAAGGAGAGATCTTCGGCTAACTTTGGAGGAGAATTGTTGGAGTTTTGTAGACCAGCAACAGGAGCTTCTTCCTTGGCTTGTTAACCGAACTTTCGGTTTAAATCAACTCTTTCATAGGAGCTTCTTCCTTGGCTTGTTAACCGAACTTTCGGTTTAAATCAACTCTTTCATAGAGTTTCAAACTCGTTCAGAGTTATCAACTCGATCAGAGTTCAAAACTTGCTTTGCAAGTTCTGCTAAAACTCGCTCTGAGTTATTAACTCGTTAAGAGTTATTTTTAAGATTCTTTTTCAAGAGTTTCGAACTCGATCAGAGTCATCAACTCGTCCAGAGTTTCAAACTTGTTTTGCAAGTTCTCCACAGCGTCAAATCGTGAGGAGAAGACTACGTTCCAGTGAATCAAGACGGTCGGATCATCAACGGAGAGCAAGTTCGACGCGATCAATCGAATGAGGCACTCCACCGCTACCAAGAAGAACCCAGTTTTAAATAAAGGGGAGAATCAGATTCATTCTCCTCTCTTTTGTAATCGGAATCCAAATTGTAATTGATTTTGAGAGGAATACAAGTCAATTTTTCTTTCTTTGTCTTTCTACTGCAAATTTCCAACAAACAAATATACTTCAACTTTTCTAATATGAATTGTGATGTTACAAATAAGCTAGAAACTGTCAGGCGAAATTTCAGCTTTTGACAACACATTGTAAAACACGAAGATGACAAGAAAGAGCAAGTTGTAGGAAGAAAAAATAACACTAGCACATGTCTAATGTAGTCTTTTATTGTTACGCTTCGGACCCTTGAACCTGTCACCGTGATGTAAGCTACAGAACCCACTGAGTGTAGCACATTGTTTGGCTCAAACCACTAACCACTGCCAAAATCGACTAGCCGATGCTACACTTGAGCCTTTTCCTTTAGTATATAAACCACTCAAAAGTCTTACTCTCCCACCAATGTGGGACTAAACTCTTGTAAATCACAATATGATATTTCTTTGATACGTCTATATATAAGCGACGTCCTCATCGCAGCATGACAATTAACACATCAGTACCACCACTAGATGATGTGAACTCTAGAGGTGGCTCCCACTGTATTCACACAATGTAGCACTTGGCGCCGCATAACAATTTTTGCCATTTGTATCATAGGACACTACCATCTTGCCAAATTGAAGTTGTCAAATGTAAGGAACTATCTAACTTCAGTACTGGCTATAAATAGAGCAGAACAAAGTATCCAAATTTGTACAAAATCTTGTAAAATCAACCAAATATGTTTGCATTGGTTAAGAAGCCTCCAACTACAGTTAGAACTCAAATTGGTGCAAACTAGAGATAAGTTAATATTTTTTCCCCCCTGTAAACAATCAAAGTTACAATATTTTCTATTATCGAATCAAGAGACAAGATTTTACCCTCAACAGCTGTATCCTGCGCCTCGCAGACCACGCTCCCACGGCGACCAGCTAGGCGCCTGCTCGCGGGCCCCACTGCTGAGGTCACTCTCTGACAGCGCCTCGAGACCCTCAGCCCACTGAACTCCGACACAACCCCTATACCTCGGCATCCAACGGCGGCGAAAGCAGGCGATCTCGCGGCGCCCGCGGCCGAAGAGGCGGAGATCGAGCCGGAGCTGAATCGAGGGACCGAGAGAGATTCAAGGACCACAGCCGCCATTGAAGAAGAAGGAAAAACCCTAGATTTGATTTTCCAAGGATTTTGAGAAATGGGAGGGGGAAGAGAGAGAAGGGAGAAAGATTGTGTGGAGGTTCTTGTGGCGTGAGGAGAGAGAGTGGATAGAGAGCGAGAGGAGTAACAAACAGTATTTTTGTAGGATGGGCCGGGTTTCCGTTTTCGGGGCCCACTGGCTCGCTAACAACCGCCCACATGTCTACATTTGATTGGGCAGAGTTGATTTGGTCTTGAGAAATCGAGACGTGCAGTATCACGTGCTTAACTAAAGGCCCAATCCAATGGAGTAATAGATAATTGATTATTAAAAGGCCCAGCCCAATAAATTTTTTTTGATAGTTGACAGTTGAAACAAACTACAGAACTGACTGAGTTTAGTAGCTCAGCTTCACGCTTATGATGTAACGATTAGATGGGCTTCATCTGATATTTGGGCCTGGAGTATCTATTGACTTCAATGTGGGCCTATGGTTAGACTGATACGTGGGTGGGGATGGGGTTGGGTTTTGTGTGCGTGCGAAGCGAGTCAAAATTTTCATTAATAAGTGGAGGTGCGTCATTCAGAGTCGTAATGCGATCAAAAGATAGTTATTTATTTTTGTGCTTTTATTATCATATTTGCATAAATATCCTGCTAATTTGATTTAAGCACCAGTTTGTCTTCTGATTCCCGGGGTTAGTTTAAGGCTCTATTTGGCAAAACTAGCTGAAAACTGCAAGATTATAGCTGAAAGCTGTGAAATTGTAACTGCAAGTTGATAGCTGTGTAGCTAGCTGGTTGACTAGAGCTGTTTGGCAAAATTAGCTGTACAACTAGCTTAAATTTGTTAAATGACTAAAAAAGGCATGCAATATTATTGATATAAAATTAGAATTATTAGGGGCAAAAACGGAAGAAAAAAAATTGGCAGCTCCTTCCCAAATACAAACGCTACTTGAGGTAGCTTTCTAAAAACTACTTGCAAAAGACACAATCTCCAAAATAATCTCCTTTTATTTTTTGTCACCAAACAGCTCTACTAGCTTATTGACCAAGTCAATAAGACACAATCTCTTAGATAAGACACAATCTCTTGTTGCCAAACTAAATCCCTTTCGGGAATATTCTAGATATAGAAGTCTTTAATCATGCAATCCCGAGGGTGCCCTAACTAATACGTAATGTTAAATTGTTAATTTCACCGACATTGTCCACGAGAATTCCAAAGGCTCAGGAGTGCGAAGGGAAATTTGCCATCCAGGTGTGAAGCAACTCTCCGAATTATTTTGCACGTCGCTTTTTGTTGGCTACTTCCACCTCTTTTTTTTGTTAGTGGAATATGACTTGCTTTGAGAATTCTTGTTGATTGCGGTGTACAAGTCCAAGTAGGAAAATTGAAGGGAAAAAAAAAAGGGAGGAAAAAAGAAAAGAAGACTTGAATCAATTTAGGGTAATCTCTCCTCCCCTTGTCCTTTCAAGCTATTAGCTATGAGGAATAAAAATTTAACCAAGACAAGTTGAAACCCACTTAAATTTCAATTTGAGTACGATATCTGGTCTCTTTCAAGCCTGGTTGGAAAATTTATTTTGTGCTTGGCCACAAAGCGTGCATCCAAGCAAAAGGGTTAGGGGGGAACACAAAATAAATATCAAATTCAGAACATGAACCTTATCAAAATACTTTCTACGCGGTTCTTGAAGAGCTAGGAATTGGAGAGCAGAGATTTTGGTTGTCATCGAAAAAGTAGATAGGCGATTGAGAATTACCCCCATCCAGAAGAATGAAGTCAGAGCATTTTACGCGAGTAGTGCTTTCTGGTGGAATTTGTATTTGTGACTTCGGGTAATCTTGAAAATAAACAAATGCACATTAGAACAATAAGCGTTAAAAGTGTTCTGAACGCATAAAATGTTTTAGGACTGAGATATGTTAGTTAGAGTACTAGATTTTCTTTGGGAGGATCTTAAAACTTTTTAGTAGATTCTTAGATTGCTTGCTAAATAACTATTAACAAATATAACTGTTATTTAAAAAAAAGCATTATTATTATTAATTAATAATTTTCTAAACTATAATTTAAGATTCAATTTATTTTGCTGCTGTTTTTTTTATATTTAAATATGTAAATACTAAATATAATTAAAGAAATTATTATTTATATTTAATATTTCCTAGTTGGTATATATTTTATTTAACATTTAATAAATTATTATATTCCTATTTTTATGGTAAATAATTAATATATTTAATTCAAATATATTAGGCTATCATATGCATAATATTAAATATTAAGGATTTAAATGATTAAATAATATCAAATTCAATAAATAATATTAGTTAAAAACTATAAAATTAGCATGTTTTTTATCATAATTAATATATTTAAATGTTATTTATCATAAAAAAACTTTCATGTGAAAATTTCCGCATTAGCATGATTGATGATAGTAAGATGAAAATTTTGGAAACTTCATGGTGTTTTTTGTATAAATATACAAATAGTGATATTTAAGTGCAACAAATAGGAAACTAAATGGTATTAAAGTGCAATTTACGCTAGATATTTCTAAGAACTTCTTATGATATATGTTCATTTAATATACAGTCTTTTGTCATAGGTTATTCAAAATTGGCGATGGCAAACTTATATTGAAATATATTGAAATTCTAATTATTTTTTTGATTGTGCTTATTACATAAAAAATTTATCATTTTATATTTATATTTTCTTATAATATACAATGCAATAGATATTTAATAGTAGGCTCTATACACGATATATATATTTTAGAAAGTTCTAGATATAAAGGAAAATAAAATAAAATAAAAAGGAAATTGTGTGTGAAATTACCAAATTATTTTAATGTCTTTAGTAGGGCTGAGCATGGTTCGGTCCAAACCGAAAAAACCGACCGAACCGATCCGAACCGACCCGAAAAAATCGGTTTTATGAGTAGGACGGTTCGGGTCGGTTTGAAAACTTTTCAACCCGAACCGACCCGAACCGACCGAATATAGTGCAATACTACCCATTCTGATCTCAAACACTACCTGATCCGTCCCCAAAGGGTCAAAGACTCAAACTCTAAACTCATTTTCTGGATCATTATGGGTTAAAAACAATATCATTATATCAGTGTTTAATGCTTCATAATCTGCTACTTTGGTGATATTTTTTTCTTTAACATAGTTTGTTGTTTGATAAGAAGTTTGATAAGTTAGAACCGAACAAACCGAACCGCACCGCACCGACTTGCAACAGTTCGGTTCGGTTTTGAATTATAGGCGGTTCGGTTCGGTTATTCAAATTTTGGTAAAAACCGAACCGAACCGACCGTTGCACACCCCTAGTCTTTAGTGAGATGAAAGGTAATTTTCGCATGTCCTTCACATTTTTCCTGTCCTCCCTAAGCCTTTCATATAATAGCATACATATAGTAACTTTTTTTCCCTTTATTAGGAAAAGGATAGGGACTATGAATCCCTGGCCAAGTAACATAAAAAATAATGTTAGGTTCCGTTTGGTTGGTTTATTTTGAAGGGAAAAGCTGTCATAGATGTCCTATCTGTGGCAGCTTCCAGGCAAAATTGTCTCTTTTAGAGGCGATTTTTACTTTTCCCCTCAAAAACGGGCAACCAAACGGGCCCTTAGTGAATCCCTAGCCACGTAACATAAAAAATAATGTTAGTTCTGTTGGATAGGGAATTCCTAATCTATTTTGGTAACATGAGGTTATTAGGATTCCTAGTCTATTTTGGTAACATGAGGTTATTAGGATTCCTAATCTATTTTGGTAATAGGTTATTAGGATTCCTAATTTGATTTGGTTTTGGTTTAGAATTCCTAGTATGTTTATGATTTTAGGATTTCTATATATATGGAACAATTGGAAGAGAGAATTTGGTGGAGAAGAAAAATTAGGGATATTTGGAGCACAGAATAGAGGTATTTTCTGAGCTATTTGTTTAGGGTTTTGTTTGGAGAGATTAAGAGCTTGTTGGTGAGATTAGTTTGTTCCTTTGAGTGATTTGTAATCTCAGTTTGTACTCTTTCTCTATTAGTGAAAACCCTATCCCCTTCTTGCCCCGTAGACGTAGGCAATTGGCGAACCACGTAAAACTATTGTATTTGGATTTGTGCCGTTGTTTTGATTTGTTTGGCCTTTATCTCGACGTTTGTTTGATTTGGTTCACGAAGCACGCCCGTTTGGTTGTCACGCTTCCGCGACGCGCACAACAATTGATATCAGAGCTCGGGCTACCCTTGGGCTATTGGAGGAGTAGATCAATTTGGAAGTTTGACTTGGGCTTCGTTTGGTGAGAAAGGTGGGATCTTTTTGGTAAAGACTCTATCTTTTTTAGTTTGGATCTATTCTTCGTTTATTCCGCATTGGTTTGTTGGTGCTTGGGATATTTGGAGGAGTAGATCGCTTTGGAGGCTCTTCGAGGGCTTCGTTTGGAGATAAAGGTGAGATTTTTCCTATTTGTGGATCTCGTTGCCGTCTTGCGGGGTGAGATCGTTTGGAGACTCTTGTTAGGGTTTCATTTGGAGGTAAAAGTCTCTCCTTTATCAATTTGGATCTATTCTTCATTTGTTGGTGCTTTGAGATAGTTGGCCGAGATAGAAGGATTTGAGGCTGGGTTATTTGTTTATTGATACGGTGCATTGGATTATTAAGAAGTGTCATTGACCTGCATATTAAAGTCCTTTTGAGCACGTTGGTATGAGCAAGGGGACCGAGTTGGAGTTTGGCACTTCTATCCATCATTCGAGGGGTTTTCTGAGGGGTGTTTATTCAGGCATTCGGGAGCCTTCCAAGGAAGCATTATTGGGAGGTAATAGGTATGTGGTTTCCGGGGATTATACTAGGCATTCGTGGGTTGCAACCAAATCCCGTTGGTTTTGAAGTCCTAGTAGTCAACAACAGTTGAAGAAGTGTATTGGGAGTAAGGTGAAGGTACTTCATTCTGGTTATAGAAGGAGGTACAAGAGGGACCTACTGTATTTGTGCCGAGCTCATGGCAGTTTGAGACACTTCATTGGTGTGGAAACTTTGAGGCGACAAGGCGAGATGGCAGATTTGGGTAGTTGTTCCTTTTTTGAGGAGGATCGGCGTTTGATGTCGAGC